CGCCTTGCAATGCGGTGAATCCTAGTTGAATCCCTGTTGATCCCTAATTGATCTGGGAGCACTGCCAGGGGTCACAACTGAACACAGCCAGAAATAATCTTTGGAGACTGCTGGGTGTGACCCGAAGAAAAGAAAATAAGAGAAAGGAAAAGAAAGGAAAAGGAGAAAAGAGGAAGAAAAGAAAAAGGGGAGGAGGAAGCCTGGTGTCAGCTCAAAGGGCTGGAGTATAAGCTTCGCATGGTCTCCAGACCCAGCCCTGCAAGGTCCCCAAGGACAAGCTGGGAGTAGCCCCAGGTCACTGCTTGGTGCAGCCCAATATCTGTGCAAAAAAAAAAAAAGTGATCTATTTGAATAATTGGTCTTGTCTTAAGAAGGCTAAGAATATTGAAAGCAATTTTCTCTATGATGACTTGAGTCTTGAAATTAGTGGGTTACAGCACATGGTTTAGAACTCTCAGAATCAGCCTCTCCTTTTCTCTCAGTCTACCACTACCACCTGAGGCTGTAAGAAATAACTTGTTTGTTTGTGGGCCACAATTGGCTGTGCTCAAGGTTTACTCCTGGATTTGTGCTCAGGAATCATTCCTTGGTGGGCTTGGCGGTCTAGGAGGCAGGAGCGGGGAGGGAGGGGGAGTCTAACCCAGGTCTTGGGTCCAAGGCAAGTGCCTTTTTCTTGTTTTCTCTGTGAGATACATAGTTACAAGGTTGTACACAATTAAGTTTTATTGATACAATGTTCCCAAACCCATCTCTTCATCTGGGTACATTTCCTATGCCAATGCACCAAATGTCCCCAGTTATTTCCCTCCTGCCCCCCCCCCCCCCACTTCCCCTCAGTTTGCCTCTTGGCAGCTACTTTTTTTCTCTTTTTCTTCTCTTTTTCTTCTCTCTCTCTCTCTCTCTCTCTCTCTCTCTCTCTCTCTCTCTCTCTCTCTCCCCTTCTGGGCATTATGGTTTGCAATGCAGGTACTGAGAGGTTATCATAAATATATATATATATATATATATATATATATATATATTTGGCATTTTCTTGGGGGGGTCACACCCAGTAATGCTCGAGGATTATTCCTGATTGTACTCAGGAATTACTCCTGGTGGTGCTCGGGGGACCATATGGGGACCATATGGGACCAGAGGTTTCGAACCCAAGTCTGCCGCGTGCAAGACAAAATGTCTTATTGCTTGGCCCTTTACCTACCAAGGCAAGTGCCTTAACCACTGCACTTAACCACCTTAACTCTGGATCACAAGGAAGCATTTATCTTTAGTCTGCCAAATCCTGTACATCGTCAGTCTTTGCAAATGAGTTCTTAGCACTCTAAGACAATGAGCTTAGAATAGTTTACTTTTCTGGTTGGTGAAGGGTTTCCAAGGTAAAACTGCAAAAAGAGGATAAAGGTCCCAGGGAGAGTCCAGTGTGGAAGCACCTTCCTTCCCAGTGCCAGCCCACCATTTTCATCCCTGGCATCTCCCAGTGGGCACTGTGCAACCCCCTACAGGGCAACAAAGTACCATCTCTGGCTGACCTCAGTCATTACAAACTCCACCAAACCAAGATAGACAGGAAGGGGAATAAGTGAAAACGTTTTTAAAAGGGGTTGTTGGAAAACCACAGGAATAGCATGTGCCAAGTTGAAGGGATTGGTATTGCTGAAGCCTTCAGTTTGAGAGAGCTTCGAGGTAGAAATTACAGACAGGGTAGGCGGATTATGAAATTGGAATAGGACTCTGCAGATTATGAAATTGGACTAGGATTCCACGAGTATCACTCCACAGGATGATCCCAGACCACTCAAATGGTAATTACTGCTATAGTTAAATAATAAAAGAGACCCAAGATTCAGCCTTTAAGTAACAGTCTTGGCCATTCTTATGCAAAGCAAGGTCTGAAAAGCTACTATTATGCAAAAATAGCACCATTATGAAGGAGAACTCCACTCTGGAGGTGTAGTTTGGATTTAAGAAGTAACTAGAGGGGCTGAAGTGATAGCACGTGAGGAGGGCGTTTGCCCTGCACTTGGCCCACCTGGATTTCTATCCCCAGCATTTCATGTGGTCCCGTGAACACTGCCAAGGGTAATTCCTGAGTGCAGAGCCAAGAGTAACCCCTGAGCATTGTGGGGTGTGACCCAAATGCAAAAAAAAAAAAAAAAAAAAAAAAGAATGAAAGAAGTAATGATGGGGAGGGCAGTGGGGTAGGGTGCCCTGCCAATTGCATGAGGCAGACCTGTGTTTCAATCCCCAACAGTTACTGTGGCCCCGAGCACTAACAGGAGTAATTCTTGAGTACAGAGCCAGGAGTAACCCCTGTGCATTGTTGGGTGTGACTCCTCCCCCAAACAAAACCCCAAGAAGCATAAAAGCAATATGGAGGGCGCTAAAGGGATGGTACTAAGGTTAAGGAATTTGCTCACCCTGGTTTGATCTCCAGCCCCCCAGGAGGGATTCTTGCCTGATCAGAGAGTCTGGAGTAAGCCCTGAGCACATCCAGATGTGACCCATCCCTCAACTCTCCACACCCGAAATAAAATTTAATAACAAGCTTGGGAAAGAGGCTGGTCATGGTGGCCAGAGCTTAGCGAACACCGGGTAGGTTGTTTGCCAGGCATGTGAGCGACCCAGTTCAATCCCTGGTACCCCACCAGCACCATTAGGAGTGACCCCTGAGCGCAGGGCCTGGAGTAAGACCTGAGCACTGCCAGGTGTGGCACCCCCAAACAAGCAGTTAAAACCAAAGTGCTGCCATTTTAGTTGGTAGGAGCCATTTTCTCTCTTTTCCTTTTCTTTTTTTCTTTTTTTGCATTTTGGGTCACACCCAGCAATGCTCAGAGGTTCCTGCTGGCTCTGCACTCCGGAATCACTTCTGGCGGTGCCCGCGGGACCAAATGGGAAGCTGGGATTGAACCCTGGTCCTCCTCGAGCAAGGCAAACGCCCTACCGGCTGTGCTACCTCTCTGGCCCAGGGGCCATTTTCTATGCTTATGTAACTGACGTTGGAACTGGGCATGAACCCCAGACCATATCCTGGAGCACATCCTGGAAACAGAAACTAAACATCCGGTGCTTGCAAGGTGGCACCAGTCAATCCGAGCAGGGAAGGAGAGAACCTGGTGGTCAGTCAAGGCAGAGATTTGGGGCTACTTCCCTGGGGTTAGAGGGGGCCGCGTTCCCGACCATTTTCTGTGGGGTGCAACTGTGACCGGTCAGTCTGTAATAACTCTCTGTAACAAAATCCTCAAACTCCTCCCAGGTGGGTGTCTTGTGTTTGAATTGCGGACCCTAACAAAACAAAACAAAAAAAATAAGGGTATAGGGATAGTTTTGAGAGCGAACTGGGACGCCTGAGTTTGCCCTTTTCTTTCCAGCAACATTTCAATTTTTACAAAACCTTTTCCCCACTTTATAGAATTTGTTTCTGTAATCCTGTGTATAGAAAGCTTAGCGTCCACCCACCTCGCTCACGACAACATACGTTGCTTCTATACTTAAAACTCCTCACACGCTGGGCTTTGGTGGGGAGGGGGTGGGCCCACTCTACGTTGCTCAGAGACTAAATCCTGGCACTGTGCCCTGCTTGGGATGGGGTGCGGATGTGAAGGACACCAAGAGGAGGAGGGAATTAAACCCGAGTCTTCTGCATGCAAAGGAATGTACTAACCTCAGACCCTGGCTTTTTTTTATTGTTGTTGTTGTGTGCGTGTTTAAGTAAAACGTGTGTAATTTTGATGTGAACATGGGCAGATGAAAAGGGAAACTGAAGTTTTTAATTATCTGGACATCAATACTGAGTTTCACCTGAGTTCCTTTTAATGAATCCATATTCATGCTAAAAAGTCACCTGCAAACAACCTAAATGCTAACTTCAGAAAACCAGAACATTTTTTTCTATACTGAAAAAGTAAATCACCCATTTCCATGGGCAAAAGCCTTCAAATAGATTTATGAGAACCTTCTCTCAATCACCCCATCGTCCACACGCCCCTCCCCTCCTTTTATTCTTTTGTCATGTCAAGGACCGATCCCAGCTCTCAAACAGCCCTTATTCTTCATGCTCCGTCTCTCATAGAGATGCATGGATCTAAATGGCAAAAATCCATGCTGCCTCCACACCATCCTTCCCTCCCCCGACCAAAGAATCTATATTTAAAAAAAAAAAGAAATCATCCCTTTCCTTGTTTGCTCTCCAGGATCTCGACATAGTCCTCCTTGGACACTCCGCCTAAAAATCTACCGCTCAGGTTTCCAGCAGTAAAACCAAGAGTTTTCCAAGCACTTAATAAAAGGTGTGCAGTGGACACAGGGGCGCTCCGCCCCTGGGAGGAGCCGGAGCCGCCGGACCGAATTAGGCGCTCGCTGGTTTAACAAATAAACCTTTAATCATTTTGGAGGAGCGAGGCCCCCGCCGAGGTCCAATCAGCGGCCGCGGTTCCCGCCGTTCCGGGGGGCGGGGCCGAGGGCAGCCCCGCCCCCTCCCAGCCTCCCGCCGCGGCCGTCGGAGCCTCGCGGGCTTCGACTGGGCCCGCCCCTCCCCGGGCCAGGCGCGGCGGCGATTGGGCGGCGCGCGGGTGGGGGCGGGGCCTTAGGGGGTTGGGAGGGGGGCGGTGGGTTCTTCCCTCCTCCCTCCCTCTTTCCCTCCCTCCCTCCCTCCCTCCCTCCCTCTCTCCCTCTCTCTCCCCCTCCTCCCCCTCAGCCAGAGAAAGGCGGGGAGACGCGGGGCCGGCTGGGCGGATTCGACGCGCGCCGCGGCGGTTGGCGAGGCGGCCGGGGCCGCGGGGCGAGAGAGAGCGCTCCCCGTTGACGGATTCCGTCCTTCCGGCCGCGCCGCCCGGGAGGCGGGTCCCCGGGGCCTGAGGAGGCTCGCTCGGGCCCGGCCGCGCTCGGGTCACTCGAGTCGCCCGTGAGGAGGAGGAGGAGGAGAAGAGGTGGAGGAGGAGGTCGTCGGGCGGAGACGGCGCTCGCCCTTCCCCGGCGGCGGCGGCGGCGGCAGGGGCAGGACAATGGAGGTGGCTGTGGAGAAGGCGGCGGCGGCCGCGGCCTCGGCGGCGGCGGCGGCAGCGGCGGCCAACGGGGCCCCGTCGGCGTCGGCGACGGCGGCGGCGGCCTCGGCGGCTTCGGCAGCGGCGGCGGCGGCGCCGAGCGGCGAGAACGAGGCCGAGAGCCGCCAGGGCCCCGACTCGGAGCAGGGCGGCGAGGCGGCCCGGCTCAACCTGTTGGACACTTGCGCCGTGTGTCACCAGAACATCCAGAGCCGCGCGCCCAAGCTGCTGCCCTGCCTGCACTCCTTCTGCCAGCGCTGCCTGCCCGCGCCCCAGCGCTACCTCATGCTGCCCGCGCCCATGCTGGGCTCGGCGGCGGCCGAGACCACCCCGCAGCCGCCGCCGCCGCCGCCCCCGCCGCCGCCGCCGCCCCCCCAGCAGCCGCCGCCGCCGCCGTCGTCGTCGTCGTCGCTGTCGTCGTCGCTGCCCGGACCCGGCTCGCCGGCCGGCGGCTCCCTGCCGTTCGCCACGCAAGGTGAGAGCGCGCGAGCGGGCGGGCGGGCGGGCGAGGGACGCTGTCAGGGCGCGGCGGGGGGAGGGGCGCGCGCGCCAACTTCCCGCGCCCCCCGCCCCCCACTCCACTCCCGAGCCCGGGCCCGGCCGGGCCTCCCCCCCCCCCGCCCCCCACTCCCAGGGTTTACGGCGAGCGCGGGAGACTGAGGCACCGGGACGCCGAGGAGGAGCTGCCACCTCTTCTGTATTTATTTATCTTAAAGCGGGGGGAGGGGGCGGTTGTCGTTGTGGAGCGTCGCTTGCAGGCTGCACGTCGTCTTGTGTGCAGCCCCTCTTGTCCTCCTCCTCCTCCTCCGTGCAGATTTTAGGGGGTCCTCCTACCTGCATGCGGCTCCCCGCTTCTCTCTTTGCTGCTGCTGCTACTGCTGCTGCTGCTTGGGGACAAAGAGCTGCAGGCACTGTGTTCTTTCTGTTGTTGTTTAGTTGTTGTTTGCGGCTTGTGGCAGCATTTTCTTCCCAGGCCCGTCCAAATGTCAAGAGAGGGAGAGAGAGGGAGAACCAGGTGGTTTGGAGCCCGGGGTGCATGCGGGGTGGGTGGTGGGTAGTGGGGGGCACGCAGGGTTGGCTCGGCTTGGGGCACCCCGCCGCCGGGAGCTGTGCAAGTTGCTGTTGCTTTTGTCGCACCGCTGCTGGGTGGGAAGGGGGGGGGGGGTAAGGAGACTTTTGACAGGTAGTTCCCCGGGCTAGCGGGAACAGGTTTTGCGGCCGGCCCAAGTTGGGGAAAAGTGAGCGCGGGGCTCTCGGAGGGAGACCCCGGGCGAGCTTTTTCAAAGGAATTTTCTGCGCGCGCGGTGAGGGTTGCACGGAGGCAACTTTGCCAAGCGCAACTGTAACCGGCAGCGGCGGCAGGTGATTTGGGCTTTGCTACTTTTTGCGGGGAAGTTGCATCTGAGCTGGAATGCCGCCGTTGCACCCAGGCGTCCGTCAGGGGATGTGTGCGGCAGATAATCGCTGCAGAGACGCGCTAGTTGGGACGGCACGGAGTTGACCCAGAGACCCGTTTTCTTTTCTTTTCTTTTTTTTTCTCCTCAGTACCGTGGGTTTCCCAGGTTCTCCTTGTTCCCTCTCCCCCACTTTGTGTTTTTTTTGAAAAGGGGCTGGTCGAAGGAAAGTCTTGGGAAAGAGTGTTTTAAAACCAGAGCAGAAAGCGCTCAAGTCTGTGGTGCAGGACCGTAAAGATCAATGGCTCCTGGAGTAAGAGAGTCTGGCACGGTTACTGCCCTACCCGTCATAAAATGCCAGGGTTTCCTAAGTTTAGGGACGCGGGCCCATTGCCTGGACCAGAGTCCACTGGCCCCCTTTCTCTGGACCCTGGACCCCTGGCAACCTCTAGCGTTGGGAGTCGGCATAAAATGTTGATGGGACTTGAGTGTAGGGCAGTAAGTAGGACGTTTGCCTTGCATCTGACGGACCTGGGGTCCATCCCGGCATCCCGTATGTACGCCCCCCAGCCCCTCCAAGAGTGATGCCTGAGTGCAGAGCCAGGATAAACCCTGAGCTCCGAAGGGTGTGCCCCTTAACACCCCCTCCCCCAACAGGTTGGTGGGTTGGCTTATGTTATCTCTGTAAGTGACAAACTGCCTTTTGTCTCTGGTCCTAGTCCTTAGAGCCCTTGTCGCTTCAGCGGGTGGTTACATAGTTCTGCACACCTGGGAAGTGCTCAGATTCTTGACTCTGCTTTCCTCCGACGTTGCCCACTTGCTGGGAAAGGAGTGCGGGTGAAACTCCAATCTTACGGTTTTGGTCTTGTTATTTTTCTAGGCCATACTCAGAAGTGCATAGGTTTTACACTTGGCAATGCTCAGGGAACCATTATGGGGTTCCCCGGGGTTGAAACTGCGTGGGCCTTGTAAGGCAAGCTCCTTACCACACTATTCTGTCTCTCCATCCCTTCAAATCTTAATTCTTTAAAAAAAATTGTTTTTATTTCATAAGTTTTGTTTGTTTTTTAAATTTTGGGCCACACCCATCAGTGCTGTTGTGTGTGTGGGAAGGGGGGTTATTCCTCACTGCACTCCTGATTGACTTAGGGGACCACCTGGTGTACTGGGGCACAAACCTGGGTTTGCCACACGAAAGGCAAGCACCTGACCTGCTGTACTATATGGCTTTGTCCCCATTATACTCAGGAGTGACTCCTGGTGCTTGGGGAACCTCATGTTCCCTGCTGGGGATCAGACTAGGGTTGGCCACGTGCAAGGGCTGAGTAACCCTGCACTGTCTCTCTGGCCCAAGAAATTTATTTTTTAAAGTCTGATCAGAAAAGGTAACTAAAACCAAAAACTGTCCCCTTTCCTTTGTTGTTGCAAGCGGTCAGTGGGGGTGAGGGGCTGTGTGTGCAGTAAAGATTGTACACTTGGTGGTGCTTCAGCTGAGGTCACACTTGTAGCTCTGGGGACCATACTTTTCCTGGTGGCTCAGTAAAGTGAGAAGCAATGATTCCTGCTGTCCAGATTCTCAAGGAGCTGCAGAGTAAGGCTGGAGCAAGAATTGCTCTTTTCAGGAAAGGCAAGTCAGTCCTAACCTTAGCACAGGCATTCTGGAGCAGTTATCTTTCGCTCACAGGGTTTCGGGAGAAGATGAAATAGTAGAGCAAGAAAACTTTGTAGAAACAAACTTAGAAAGATGTGAGGGGAGGGGGAAGGGAAGGAATACTTGTTCAGGAGAGAACATGTTCTAGAAAGAGCAAACACGCAAAGAGACATATAGACAAGCAAGATGCATCTTACATGTTCAAGGGAGAATACAGGCTTGAAGAGCAGTACATTCTTAATGTTTAGACACATTTGAATGTTTGTTTGTTTTGGTTTTTGGACCACACCTAGTAGTGCTGGGGTGGGGGGGCGTTACTCATGGCTTTGCACTTAGAAGTTACTCCTGGTAGTGCTGGCTGGACCATATGGAATGTGGGACGATATGGGATGCCTTGGTTGGGAATCAAATCTGGGCTGGCTGCATGCAGCTTTACTGTCTCTTCAGCACATCTTTTATTTGTATTTTAAATTGTTAAATAGGTGAACAGATCTGAATTTTATTCACAGGATTATGGAAATAGTTTATTGTATGCCCGTTTATAGTTTATTGAAGCCAGAGTGAATGAGAACATAGATAATAAAAACTGATCATTCTGAGTCGAGTTTGCATTTCTAGGTTTCTCAAAATGTTCTGTATATTCCCAGCTTTTAAATATAAGTTTTCTCTTTGTGTTGTAAGCAGGTGTTCAAGGAAGATGTTTATATTGAGAAAACGTTTTTGTTAAACTGAGAAAAAGGCTTTTACAAACGCTCTGTTCAAATTTACTTCCAAAAAAGTTAGGATTATCTTCAGAAAATTAAAAGTAATCTGAGGTCTTGGTCGCTTGGATATTTTACCTCTTGATCTGTCCTTGCAAACTTATTTTAATTGAAGCAAAAGCTTTAGAACTAAATTCAGAACATTTCAGAACTAAGTAGGTTTTATTTGATCATCTTTGTTCTTCATTTGAATGAACTTGAGGGTAATGGCATCCAAGGTCAGCTGTTATACCTGCAAAAAGAAACTAAGGTAATCGAGATGGAGATCTATAGGCTTGGAGGTAAAATAATAGGGAATGGGTCTGGGGAGACTAAAGGGGAGGGGAGGAAATTTAATTCCACCAGATTGTTAGGACAGAATGCAAGGCTAGTGCTAAACTTAATCCCTTTTTTAAAATAAAATCTGGATTTTGTGTAATATCTCTCTAGTATTTTATATTAGCTAGGAGTCTAGTATTTGATATTAGCTAGGATTTAAGTCTTTTTTTTTAAGTAAGATGGTTTTTAGAGTTAGAGGGATAGAGGGACAGACAGATGAATATTCGTCTTCAAAAAGGAACACAGTAAAATTTTTTAATTTTATAAAGTAGTTCACAGTATTTGATTACATTTAATATTCAAATACCAATCCCACCGCCATTACACCTTTCCAAGACCATATTTCTGATGTTTACATCCTGAACCCCAATCCCTGCCCCAAAGCAGAACCGAAAAATATTTTTCGTATTGTTTGTTATGAAAAACTGCTGAAAAAGCTACAAAAAGATGTCTATAGAGAAAAGTGTGAAGGCTGTTGTATTTCACCCAGTTGCCATTATTCAGTTGCCATTACCTTTTGTAAGAGATCACTAAAATGTTGTTAAAGATTGAGCCTTGTGTGCTTTTATATAATCTGTAAAAAAAAATTTCCCTCTAAGATTGGTTGCCTCCTATTTTGAACTCCATCAAATGTGGTGAGGTACTCTTGGAGTAAGGTAGGGTGTGTCCTATGAAGTGTCCTTGAGGTCCAGGAATAGGTTTGCTTGTGGGTATGGCTTGATTGGAGCATGTGGAGAGTGGCCCCGAGCATGGCCGAGGTTGAGTTCTGAAGGTTTTTGGCTGCCAGGGCTGGGTCCCTTGGGTGGGGGAGGGGTCTCACCTCTGTGTGTGTGTGTGTGTGTGTGTGTGTGTGTGTGTGTGTCTTGTGTCGCACCCCCCCACCCCCGCAGGCACTCCGAGTGAGACAGCCTGGCGTAGGGTCTGGTGGCATGGTTATGATGAGCGTCATGGGAGAGAAGGACAAGTGATCTGGATGTTGGCCGATGATGAGATTCAAGGAACACAATTTATCCAAGAAGGTGAATTGTACCTAAATACATCTTTACACACACACACACACACACACACACACACACACACACACACAACTCACACTCTCACACACTCACACACATATAGGTTAAACAAAAGTTTTGTGGAGGTCACATATTATGTTATCATTTATACTGTTTTCTTTGAAATTAAATAAGAATTTTCAGACATTAGCCTTACTTGATGTGCTTGTTAAAAATTACATTTCCAGGGGCTGGAGCAATAGCATAGCGGCTAGGGAGTTTGCCTTGCATGCGTCTGACCCGGGTTCGATTCCCATATGGTCCCCCGTGCACTGCCAGGAGTGATTCCTGAGTGC